TTCCGTCTGGCAATGCTCCGACTGGATGTCATGATGCAAGGCTGACATGGGGTGTGAGGTGATGCCACCAGCAACACTGGGTGCTGCGCTGGGCTGGTCCGGGACACCGACGTCGTATCGCATGTGGTGTAAACACTCGCCACAGTGCGATACCTGACCGTGATGTCTGGCTCCGGTCGCGCCTCGCTCGTGGCCATCGGCCGGGGGCTGTCCGCTCGCTCGCCCGTACGCCTACCGGCCCGCCGCCGCGCCGGATGACCCTCTGACCGTCCGTCGGCAGGCTGGCCCAGCACATCACGTACGTGCACCAGAACTGCGTGCAGCCGCCGACGCAGTTCGAGCCGCTGAGCATGCGGCTCATCCGGCGCTACGTGGCGCTGTGCCGGCGCAAGCAGCCGCGCGTGCCGGAGAGTCTGGCCGAGTACCTCGTCAGTGAGTATCCGGCTCCGACGCCGACGGCCCGCCCCAGATCACGGCGCCGTCGACAGTGCCGACCCTGATCCCGACCCCGATCCCGGCCGTAATCCCGCCCCCGGGTCCCGATTCCGCTCTTGATCATGCCCTGACTCGACGTGGACATCGACCCAGACCTCCAGCCTGATCCCGCCGGCGGCGGAGACGGCGGAGGCCCAGCCACCCGGCCGCCAAAGGTCGGGCGCGGCTGCGGCGCGCATGCTGACTACAGGCGTGTTTTGCTCGATATCTGGCGTTCGTCAGCATCGTTGCCCACGCCGGTTGAAGTGACCTGGCGATATCATTACCCACTCCCCTCCCCCCAGTTGCAGTAGTTCAACGAACGGCTTAAGCTCGTGCGTTCGCTGTATGTGGACGGGATGGCGCACATATTCTGGCAGGCTTGGTGACACTGTCGTGGGGTGCGAGACAGGAGGCTCCATCAGCATCCTAGCCCTCGCCGGTCCCTAGAGCTGGTGTGCCGGGTATTCCCTCTGGGTTCTGCGTGACCTTCGCCCGGGAGTATTGCCGGGCTATCCTCGTGCCCCACAGATGCCTGGCTTATCGGTGACCACACTCCTCCCCCCCCCCCCCCCCCACCCCCATCCTCCATTCCCCAGCGCGTGTGTCGAACCTCGGCATCGCTCCCGGCGTCTTACCGCCGCCTCGCATCGCTGACGGCGCCGCCTCCCCCGCCCTCGCAGGCGCGTACGTCGAGCTGCGTCGCGAAGCCCGCAACAACAAGGACATGACGTTCACCTCGGCTCGCAACTTGCTGGCGATACTTCGCCTGTCCACGGCGCTGGCCCGGCTCCGTCTGGTGGACACGGTGGAGAAGGAGGACGTCAACGAGGCCATGCGGCTGCTGGAGAAGTCCAAGGACTCGCTGAACTGCGACGTAGAGAGCCGCGCACCCGTCTCTACCGCCAACGCCATCTTTGAGGTTTGCAATGCTTTCTCGTTGGTGAAGTGCGTGATGGAACTGGTCTTGTGTGAGTCCTGCTGGAACTTTCTGTCGCCGCTATTGGGGATAGTTCGTGGAGCACTGATGAAGGTGTCGAGCTGGGTAAGGCATATCCATGGGAGAACGGAGATTGGCATGTGTTTTTGGCTCGCTTTTGATGCCCGTTTAGAGGGAAGGGCACGCACGATATCATCTCAAGAATCTTGAAGCTAATCAAGGAACATGTGAAGGAATAAATCGAAATTTGCACGCTGCGTGGTTTTCCATCCAGCCGGGATTGCTGTTTTTCCATTTGGCCTGGATTGCAGACGCACGGCGTAGGGATCAGGTCGTCACAGATCAGAGGGCAACGTATCTGTGAGGCTAAAGCCATTTCACCTGACATGCATAACGCGCCGCCCCGTAATTGATTCGTGGACTGCCCGTATCTCTTGGGAAAACTGCGTTTGCCAGCTAGAGTAATTACATCGCTGTCGGCTGGGTTGGACGGAGAAAACTTTTGAATTTCGCCTGGAAATGCCCATTTATAGTACGCATGTTAAATATGCGTTTGCGAGGTAAAGTAGCATATTGTCGCTGCCGGGGTGGTACGCGGCAATGTGGTTTACATGTCTAACGGACTTGTTTCTTCGTCCCAAAAGGTTTTGCCTATTAGAACTCGTTCGCAGCTGGGCATGCCTGGCCCCCGAGGGATGCAGCGCAACTGTAGGAAGACGTACGCGATATCGTATTTAGTTGCTGCGCATGCGCACGGAGCGCTCGCTGGCTGCGTCATGCCGCGTCCACCCGTAAAGGCGTTTTGTCCCATCCGATTACCGAGTGTCGGCCGCAGCCGGGCGGTCCATCTACGGCGCTGGACTGGTTGTTTATCGACTCCTGTAGCTGGCACGACCATTAGTGCGAGAGCGCTCTCTGGCGCAGCCGACCGCCGCCGTGCGGCGGATGCAGCTGACGCAAGGCGTCGGTCGGAGCTCGTGTGCCGCATGGTCTCGGAGGTGCGACGTGCGTCGCCTGCTCTCCTCGGTGGGCCAGGACACTCCCGTCTGACGCTCTGCTCCCCGCCCCGCTCCGCAGCTGGTGAAGGGGCTGGCCGGCGTGGCCGGCACGGTGCGGCTGGCCGACGTGCAGGAGTTGTGCGCCAGCAAGGGCTTCACGCCCGACCAGATCGAGCAGTGCCTCGACAGCTACCAGGACCTGAACGTGTGGATGCTGAACCAAGGCCGCACCCGGCTTACGTTCGTCTGAGCGGCGCGCCGGCTCCCGTCCTCCGCAGCTGCCGCTCGTCGCCTTTGTACGTCATTTTGTGCGGTTTGTACGAGGCGCGCCGATCTGCGGGCTGGCTGGCGAGCGTAGTAGCGGCGAAACCAGCAACCCAGTGAGTTGTAGGAGGTGCCGCCCGCGCGTCCCGAGCCGCGACCGGCGCGCCGAACATCCGCCGGCCGCAGCGCCGCGCCGTGCGTTTCTTCTCCTGACATTGGTTCTTTATGTTCGCGTCTGCGGGTGTAGCTGAATCGGCGCGATGGGGCCGCGCCCCCACGGGTGCATGAGGTGTGTGACCAGACTTGTACCGGGTCAGCGTCCGATCCCCCCTCGCCCGCCTCTGTCGCCGCCGGCCGGGCTGATGCCCGCGCCCCCACACCACATCGATGATGCGCCTTGCTCGTCAGCGCCGACGCTGTTGTTGCCAACGCTGTTCGACGCCTCTTACGGAATACACGCCTCGATAAATATGTTTTATTCAAAAATTGAACACATCCACAGACTCACAGCTGAGCTCCTGACAACGCGACTGGCACGGAACCTTCCGGTAGGTGGGCGCACGCCGCCGATCCGCGTACCAGGCTTATTTACAATCTGTCGACACTGGCACGTGAAGGCCGCACAGCGCCGGCGTCTCAGGTACCTGCGTCTCAGGTGCCTGCGGGCTCCAAGCTGCGCAGCGTGGCGGCTGGGGCGGGGTGGGGAGGCCCTGTATCAACGGTGATGCCGCGCTGGCGACCCCGCACGCCCGCACTGAGGAGAACCGGACATACATCGGACTGACGGTTCGCCGCTCCTCGCGGGCACGTGCCCGCGAGGAGCCTGTTCGGGGGGCCACCATTCCCGCACCCAGAACGCGGATCGTCCCGGTTATCATACCGGGGGCCGCCAAGCGGCGCCCGGCTCGTGCCGAGTGGGTACCGCGCGCTTCTGGGCCTGGGGCCTGTGTATATGCTCTGCTGATGACTTGTCACGCTGGGTTTCCTGTCTGTCGGATCTGTTCACGGGTCACCCCGAACTTTCCATTGAGGCCCTCAGCGAGTCCGACCGTAAAAAGAAACAAACGCCGGGCTGGGCGGCGACGTCGGCCTGTCAGCTAGCACCCTGGCCCCCGGTTGACATTTCCCCTTCCCCCTGACCTCTGCGCGCCGTCCGGCGGCGAGCGTACGCTGCGCACATTTTGGCACAATCGCAGGACGCCTGTGGCTGGGCGCCAGGCTGTAGCAAGCCGTCACCAAGCGGACCCGCCCCGCCGTCTGCTGCGCCTGCTCACGGCGCCTCCCCGGCCGGCGGCCTCGGCCGCGGCGGCGCAGTGAAGGCGAAGCTACAGTCGGCGAGAGGGGATCTGAGAGCCCCGCCGGACACGCCGAGGTGCCGCGGCATGGCGTCGACGGCCGTGCGGTCCGTACCGGCCCCCGCGCCACGTGGCCGATCCGACCTCTGCAACCGCTGGCTTACGAAGCATCTGATGCGTCCGAGCGTGCAGGTGGCATTCTTGTAACGCCTTCGCCTTCTGGTGCAGCTATTTGAGCTGGTGCGCCCTAAAAGTCGAGACGCCGTCTGCGTCTGCGATGGCGATCTGCGAGAACCGTCATCTGCGGATCCTGGTACGGTTCAAAGGGCTGAGCTGCGAAAAGAACAACAACGAGTAACGAAATAAAACGGAACACCGAGACTAGTCCAGGTCATCTCAATATGCGCCTTCTAACGGCATGGGCTAGAGAATAGCATCAACGTATGGTCCACGGCCGGCCCGATTGCCCACTCCAGCGCGTTCTGTCCCAGCGCGGGCAGAGAGGAGGGAGGCCGGCCCTGTTTGGTGAGGGCCCGGGGGACCGCATTCGGAGCTGGCCAGCCTGGCGTCTGGGGGCGGCCCGACCACCGAGTGAACCAGGACGACCTAATTGAAGGTCGCGCCGGCGGGCCAACCCAAGCTGTCCCCGGCGGGTTCGCCAGCTGGCCCCCGCTCCGGGCCGAACCTGCGCAGCCCATCTCCCCCTCCCCTCCCCGACGGCCGGACGGAGCGCCGGTAAGCCTCGGCGGTGCCGATAAAGGCGGGTGGGGGCGAAGCGCTGGTAGACGGTGCGGGGACGGCACGCCAACCCGGGGTCCCGGTTCTGCGCTCTCAAGCGCTGGGCGCGGGGCCCGAGCGGACGGCGCCGAGCCAGCCGTGTGAACCAAGTGGGAGCTGGGCCAACGGACTCCGAAGCGAATAGCCAACGTGGCGCAACACGCTTTCCCTCACAATCCCCCTCCCCGTAACGGATACTCGGTATTGCGTGCGCACTTCGTATATGTACAGACTGACACATGCACATAAATGTCATTTACACAGCTTATTCTTCAGTCTGTTGGCATCACGGGACAGCGCGGTATTGTCGCAGGAAACACGTAAGTCCTAGCCGTTGTCTAAACATACTCCGCTACAAACGTCAACTGACCACACGGAACGCGTCGCCCGAGGGGATATAAATAGGCATCACTCGCGGAAGCACCTCGGCCGACCAATCCCAGCCGGCTGCGAACCACATGGCGCGCGAACTCTGACCGCTCGTCCCGCGGACGGACCGTGCCAGCGCCGGAGGCGCCACCGCCTCCCACACGCGCGCCACGGTCGCCAGAGCACCACGGGGGAGCGGCGCTCCAGCTGAGCCAGGCAACAGTGTCCTCGACTCGGGCCGCCGGGGCGGGGTCACGGCAGGTCACGGCAGGTCACGACCGCTGCCGGCGGTGGGGCGGCCGGTGTCGGCCCACGGCACGCCGGGGTCGTGACCCTGCCGGCCATCGACCAAACGCCGACGAACTGGGTGGCGGGCCACTCATGCGGTGTTGACGTGCCGCCTCCCAGCGTCCGGCCGACACGACACGGCTCGGCCCGGCCCGGCCCGGCCCAGCACGACACGGCCCGGCCCGGCACGGCACGGCACGGCGCGGCTCGACACGCCGGCGCACGCCACACAGTCGTGGCCGTATGGCCAGGTCCATTGCACACCCGCTGCACCTCGCTAGAAGTCGAGAAAGTGTCGCATGTCCTTCTCGCTGGCGGCCGGCGCCTTCTGCCAGTTCGTCTCCGGGTAGTCGTCAAAGTTCCGCGTGTCGCCGTCGTACGATACTTTGGGTACGATGGGCGGCTGCAACAGAGGCGCCGGTCAGGGCAGTGGTCGATGGCCGGCGAGGCCCGGCGACGCTCAGAGTGTTCTGTGCCAGCGTGTTCTCGACAACACCAACGCTTTCGCAACTGACGTTCTTTTTCCCCGATAATTTTAGAAAAGTCCACCATACCACGTAAGGGGACTCACCAAAGACGTGCGGGGTTTTAATAAAAGCACAGGAAAGATCACAAAAACGTATGTAAGTTTTCTTCTCGACATCGAGTGATGGGGTAAGCACCCAGAGCTGCGGAGATTGGGTAAGCTCCCAGCATCCGTAGCTCTCGCAACTCCCACGCAGTGTTCATCGTCAGCGGTGCTCGAGATTCCGCGAGGCGCGCGGGCACTTTTGATCTCACCTTGAGTTTTCTGTAGTAAACCTCCTCCCAATTGGTATTTTTGAACCACCTGTGTCGTTTGACGTCTTCTGCGCCGCTCTGGAAAGGAGGCAGCCGGCGTGAAGCAATGGCGTGAGGTAGGGGCGTGGCCGGGCCGGCGTGGCACGCAACGCGACGAACGGACACCCTCTCGTGGACGGCGTGACGAACGACGACGCATGGCACGCACGATACGTGGCGGGACATACCCCCGTGCCAGGACCGCGTCCCTACAATAAGCGCGACAGGGATCGCTATCAAACTCCGTCCAATCAACACATCGCGGCTGCTTTGGCATCGCTGTAAGTGTCTCGGGGCATAGCGGTTCTCCCGCCAGCTTATTCCCATTCAGTGCGTCAGCCTCCTCGCCACAATATCACCCACGTAAGCGACTGCGCCTGCCAACTCCGGAGACGTTCGCGGCACGCTGGTGGGACGAGGCCCGGCCCCTGATCATCCAACTCCGGCACCTGCTGAAAGCAATCGAGCGGGTCGCTTTTGACGGCCTAAGCTGGCGAGAGCCGGGCGGAAGTGGCGGCGGCGCCAATCAAGCGAAGCCAAACACCGTCCCGGCCAGGATCTCATCAGGCCGCGGAGGAGTTGGCTGGCATCATTTGCTGCCACCGAACTCACCGCTGGCCAGTTCGAAGCGTAACGAGAAGCGTGACGCACGAGCTGGTGATTCAGCAACGCACCCTGCCAAAGCACGCTCCGCGCGGCGGAAGTCAGTCTGTATAAGACTCCTGGTAACGTGAGGTGGACGCACGCGGCTACTTCGAAATGATCGATTTCTGTTACGACGCCGATCGTGCTTGTCAGCTGTTCTCACGACATGAAGGCTGCCTGGCTGCCTTGCTCAAGAACGTCGCGATCTTTTGTGACAACCGCATCGGGAGAAACCGAAGCGAGGCTGGGGCTCGGAGTCAGGGTGATAGTGGAGTAGGGCCTGCATTCCTGTCGAACGAACTTTCGGCGGGTAACGTCTGCACTGAACTTTGCCCTACGTTTTGGGACGGGGCGTTGCCCCCTCCCCCCCCCCCTTCCTTCATCTCCCCATGCCGACACGCGCCGATAAGAACAGGACAAACATAGCAAAGCGTGTGCTCATCAGCGAAGAGTCGCTGTTTGTGATATCCGTTATCACTTGGGATCGCGCATACGCTCAAAGTCTGACAGGCTG